GATTTCCCATTTATATAATATCTTCTGCTCTGCAATCGTTGTTTTATATGGAAAAATCAAGATTACCATGTGTATTTTATCGTAAACTAAGCCGGAAATAGCAATCAGCTATGCACACAGTTCATCCAAATCTCCTGGCGATTCAGTTGAAATATAACAAATATAGCTTCAAACAATTTTGATCCTTTGAAACTATTATTTTATCAGGATTAACATATTTCAAAACAGCATCATTTTAGTTGAAAAATTTAATGAATATATTTAAAATAATCTGGTGTGTAGCACTTGCTGTATTCAGATGTATCTTATGGATGGAACTATTTGAAAAGTCCCTGATGATACTCATTTGTTCCCCATCATGAAAAGTTCTATTGTCAAGTTACAGTCAAATTTCCACAAATATGACTTGCAACGAATTAAGGCACTTAAGATAAATTTATCCATGTTTTCTCAGCTAAGTTACTTTCACATTGTCAATAGCATTCATCTTACCACAAATTCATACATGATTTCACTGAATTTATGGTAAACAATATTGAATGAAATTTTGAATGATATTATTAAAATAGATTAAAAACATAAATCAAGACCGGGTGGAAATAACCCATTGCCCGTCGTCCCAGTCCAGTGTTTTGTTCTGTCGGGCAAGCAAATTTGTATATCACTCTGTACCGGTGTCCAGTTGACTTCCTAATGTTAATTATGTTATTTATTTGAAAATCAACAAGAAAATTGGCCGGTATAGTGGAAAAACTATCAGGGCAAGGGATTTTACATGTGCCAGTACCGGAGTACACAAGCAATTTTAAAGTTATTTCCACCCCTACAAGACATACAGTTAATAGCCGGACATGTAAAACCATAGTTACATTGCATATTCAAATTCAGATTAGTTGATGGGGCGTCAATGCTCATGGTAATAATGACTTTGTATTTATATCAATGGAAATTTCTGGTAATAGTAACGGTCCTCTTATGATTGCACTGCACAGGAACTTTACTCTGTTGGGAGGCATAAGTAATAGGTGAGGCAGCCAGTGATTGAACTTCAAGTGAGTATTGTTTAAAGCTACAAAAACTGCAGAAGAAAGACCTCAGATGTCACCATTTCATTAGACAAATTCAAAATTTGCACTAAGAAACAATTCAGCCAGCAGTGAAGCACAATTGGTACCCATGGAGAATGGGTAATTCTCGCTAAATGCCTTACCCTTAGACCTCACATAGATGCTTTCAAGAGATGCTTTTCAATAGATGAGAGTATCATTTCACATACAGTTTTCAGTGGCACTTATCTGCTTGGACACTAAACTGAAAATTCTGAAATAATACTTCTGAGGTTTGGCACTGTCTAAAACTTGATAATCTGAATTATTGTTGATGAGAAGAATGATCAATTATAAAATTGTATCATTGATAAAATCATATATTAACAACTGTGATGTGTTTTAATTTACATACAATCTTCTTCATGGATTGCTTCTAAAATACTTTTAGAAAGTTGTTCTTGTTAGTAGTCGACATATATGTGTGTTAACACGTACCAATTACGTGAAATATGTTGATTTCTTTCAAACTAGTGAATTAAAAGTACACACTTCATAACCATTACATCCTTGTGGGATTACTGTGTTGTGACTGTCATCACACTTTAAACACATCTGCAGATATTAAAACCAAAGTCATCTTCACATTCAACAACGACATAACTGGTCATGCAATCTCCATTCCCAAGCCTTTTGCCCACATAGCAACAGCTTAAATTGGGTGGTTGTCATAGTGTACCGGAAATATATACAGTGAAACTTGGCATATACTTTAATATTATTCCCTGGGAAGAAATATGGTAAGACAATGTAAACCATCGTCTGCTATGCCACTGGCTTATCAGAAATACAAACCACCCACTCTGCCACAGCAACCACAAAGTTGTCGGAGACAGAGGTCTGTGCCTTGGGTCATAGCCACACTTACATGTGTTCCTCAGTTGAGTGCATATAGCAGCATAACGGTTGAACAAAACAACTGCCACTGCATGTCCCACTGAAGATTTATCCCACAGTCATTCCATTTCATAAACAAATTAAGCTGAATTCATGTCTGTTGAAAGAACCATTTAGTGTACTGGGTATTAAGAACTAAAAGCATTCCAGATCATGTCTGGTGACATTTGTGCAGGAAACGTTTCCAACAGAAAACTCCTCCACATAACTAACTAACATGTCTTAACTAATATTATCATGTGTTAGCTTGGACCCACAATACACTAAAGTACTGTCGGAAATAGAAAAAAACTGTTTTTTCACATTTATATCTACAATTTATGAAGTTAATCTGTGAAAGTGTGAAATATCTGTTAAACTAAGTTCGGCCTAACTATAGTCTCAGTGGTGGGGAGATAGGAAACGTAAAAAAAGGACTTTACTGAGGAGAGATTAGTGCAGAAATGAGCAATGCATTTTTTTTCTAAGTCCAAAGCGACATATTTAGAACAGACCATGGCTTTATGCAAATTAGTGTGCGATGATATTGTATTTCAAAGGACACTTTTTAAATGCCTATTTTGAAACTAGGCTTAGTTTCATTATCAGGATTATGGGACTCAACCCAATAAAAGTACTAGAATCTGTACCTTACTAAGAAAGTGTAATCCCAAATATAACATATGTTACATTTGACCACTTTCTAAATGGCATTGTGTAATCATTGTGAGTTTACATTTCCAAGGCCCACTCACTTTTAAATCAACAAACTGAACAAAATGGAGAGTGCAGGACATACCACAAAAGGGCCTACCTTTAGACTACAGCACCACAAACTCTAAAACCATGTCATAATACCCTTTTAAATAATTTAATGTGATTTTGTTCCAAAGCACGTTCTCGAAACAATGCTCTATGACACCGGCATAGCAACAAGGTTGTCTGGCTCTTGTTGTCTGAAATTGTTTTATGTATAATTTTTGGGCTAATGGAAACCGGCCTGAAACTTGCATTCAAGTCACTTTCACACGCTACATTTCTTCATTAATGATTCGAAGACTAACTCATGCATGTGTCATCACTAGACATGCTCATGTCTCCCTCATTCTTCAGTGCGATCCCAAAAACACTTTTCTGTCAAGCACGTCATTCATGCATGCACGGTGAAATCACCGTCTGATGCTTGACGTCACGACCGTTTTCACTTCGCACCATATCTATAGCAAGTCTATCCGTAACCTTCGTAATTCCGTGACCTATTTGACTCTTTCCGTTCATTTCCATAACCTCACAGGAATGACTAGAAAAATTTGCACATGCAAAGAAAATGCAAACTCAGATTTGAATTGACTTGACTGATCTTAATCCCGCCATTGACAATAGCATTACCCCATTCCAGAATAAGTGGTATCTTTATTCCTTCAGTCCTTGATGCCAAGTCATGTTATCTTCTGCTAGACTGACTATGAATCCAGTCTCCTGACCATGTTTTTTCAAACATATACACAGTATATGTACAATCATGGACATCTTTATTGGTGGGAAGGGCGAAGATGACCATGCCAAAAACCATGAAGAAAGTAGTCAGAAATGCAACTGAGAACAAGATTGTGCAGACTGTAGATTCTCCAAGCTACAAGTATCTCTGCAAAGCCCCTACTAAGCAAGGACGTCCCGATACAAGTGCCTCATGATACGATACTTATCTCGATATAGAGGTCACCATACAGCAGTTCCAACATTTTGCATAATATGATTAACACATACAGAAATACAAATGCTCTCTATTATCGTGGCTCGCGAAAACATCGGGAAAGCAGAAACACCACGGCCCCGCATCGGCTGTTTACATATGCAAATTACGTAAATATATTCATCGCTCTTGAAAAAGTCATTTATTTCATTGGAATCGTAGAAATATTAAAGCAATCATCTTTTCAGTAAGTTCTAGAACATTTTTAAACTAGAATGACCCCTACTGCCATTACATCTAGCATGAAATAAAACTTACTTCGTCAAGAGTAATCCTGCGACAACTATAATGTCATTTGCATATTTTCCGTGCTAAAAATATAACAGGCAGTGACGTATTATGCAACTTCACTCTACACACGGCAGCAACTTGTATGGTACGTTTTAGGCGGAAAAACAATATTTTGTAACGTTATTGTTACCTTGTATCCAAATGAATAGAAGTTTCAGATGTTTGGGTTAAAAACATGATGTTATTACTAATGTGAATGAAATTCCTAAATATTTTTTAATGATCAAACTATTTAGCTCATTTCTTGTCTTAGTAAACGTTTCAGTGTCATCTGCTTGTACAGCGTGCCATAGTAAGAAAATAGCAATACCGCGATAATAGAGAGTTGCTTCAATTTCCAGGTCAAACGAGACAATCCGAATTGCCGCAATGGTATTAAACGAGTTGCGAATATGTGTCACATTATTTGTGACAGAAATGAAGATTAAACATCAGTCAACTGAAAATATATATAAAATGCTAAATGTCAGTAGCCGTTTATAATCCCGATGGCGACAACATTAACTACCGCTATAATAGAGGGTCGCATGATACTATAGATATGTCAATGCAAACATAATAGATAATGGTAACCTACCACCAAAGAAAACAAATAGGCACAAAAAAGTCACGGTACAGACGTTGAAAACACGTTTCCAAAAACAGTTCAGTGAACACTGAATATTGACAGAAGTATATTCATCATTGGGTCACGTGCAATAATTACCCGACACAAATTACAGTGACATATCACCTGTGCCGACAACGACCCCTCAGCTCTAGTATTATCAGTCTAAACAAAGTTCACCTGTACAGTCTCTCTGTTTTGATACCCGGGAATCATAATCATACCATGCAAAATCACATCCACAGACTGCATTCACTTGTTTGCTCAGCTAGTTTGGCACTGAATGAAATAAGGTCACCTGTTGAGCAGCCACACACAGCAATCTCTAACACACAGTACAGTGACCTGATAACATAGGCCCACTCACGTTTCTTTCTGTGTCTTTGGTACGGATGATGAAAATCTTTTCTTCTGATCATTGCTTCTATTATATTTGCAAAGAAGGCCTGGCACTGTCAAAGATGACGTGTGATTAGTGAAGGCAAACTTTGGGATGATACATCGGAATACCCTTGCTGTCAGGCCTGCCATCTTTTAGCACTTGAAACATTGGACTTGAGACTCCGCTGCTGGTGACTGGAAAAGTTGGAATGTGGTTTGCACATGAAACATATAGAGACGCAACACATATGGAGAACTGGTGCATTGTGTATTCAGTTTACGCATCTTTCTTCGGTGTACTTGGGTTATACATTCATTGACTATGGATTATATTGATAATTTCTTTTACTATTTTACTAACTATTATTAACACATTTCGTTTTTAATTTTGTGTTCGTTTCATTCTGAACTGTCTTGTCTGTTCGTATTATCCTCGGAATGAATATGTATCTGGTGTAAAGTACTTCTTCAGTGCCAGACCTTTCGCACCTGTCTAATAGGAATAGTCATCGTACCGAAAGGACGAGAGTCGGACACGAATGATCTCGGGACGACTTTCTGCGAGAAACGGTTGTCGGGATGCGGTAATATTCCACGAAAGGAGAACACGATCGATAAAATGAAATCACTTTTTGTGGGCCAATTATCCATTTTGCTAGAACGAAACAAAAACGAATTATACACACATCCCTTTCAAAGTTAACGTATGTTAGAAAAGGGATAACCTACAACGTCTTCTATTCTCCCTGATTACAAGAAAACCGAGGTATTGTTTTTAAATAGAACAGGCTAAACCAGTACACAAAATGATCGCGATAAAGACACGATTTGACTAAAACGGCACCATGTACAGCTAACGAAAAGAGAGCGTCCATTAAGGTGGTACATATCATATTACAATTCGTGTATTTTCTAACGTATCGTACGAACTAAAGAGAGTTATGTACTTTGTGTTTTTACAAATGAAATATAATAAAAACGGTAAATTACAGGAATGAGTTGTAATTTCTTTTCCTACTCACTTAAAGGTTATCTTTATACAGATATAGATCTAAGAAATCGGTGAGCAAGCAAACCTATTAGTAAATCGATCAGATAGGTGTCAGTAGCAGGACCGCGGCCTCCACGCAGGACAGGGGCAAGTCCGACCTATTATACTCTAAAAATAAGAAACAAGTAGGACATATTTAAGAAATGACGCATGCTCAGTCACCTGGTATAGTTCACACGGGGTAGAACAAAATGTTTTACGTTTCTGAGATATTGAATCTATTACAAGCCTTGTGATTTATTATCGGAGAAGGTGTCATAGGGTCAGCTTCAAGATGCTCCCTGGAGTTTCGACAAAATATATCATTCTTTGTCATTATTTATTCTTTTGTCCATTTTTTTAATTAGGTTCGTTAAACCAAATGCATCTACATTTAACACGGGAAATATATCTTTAAATCGTTATCGTTAGGTGTCAAACATATAGTCTAGAGTTAATAAATATACCCAATGAAAAAATTGACAACGCCTATTATTTCTAACCCCTATTTAGCCATCTATATCGCAATTATGTTTTGTAACTATATATCACCTATATTATCTAAGTTGTTTAACAAATTATATGACAGTTCATTTTTCCAGAATATTAGGAGAAAAGCATCATATGCCCTTTGCATAAATCTGGTGATAAAATAGATCCAAATAATTACAGAGGAATTTCATTGATCAACCCCCAGTGAGTGTGGCAGACTCTCACGGCAGTGTCACTATACCTCGAGAGCAGTAAAGCACTGGTGCAGACTGATGCAGCTACAAAACCATAGACTTCCTTTTCAAGCCTACCAAATGCTAAAGTCTCTTGATGATAAAAATCTACCTGGGCATCACGCATAAGATTAATTCTTTTTCTGTATGGTTTTGGGTTTTATGGATCCCGGACAAAATTGGCTGCATTATAACATTTATATCTAGCGTCAGACATAGATTTTATGACCGCTTCCCTCAACTGACGCTCCTCACTTGACTCTTCATTTTAATGTACTAGTAAATATTATTCACAATTTAAATATTTACTTAATGTTGAACACTACTTGTACTGTGACCTCCTACCATATCAACGGAAAGTAAAAACCATGTTCCGCTGTAACAGCTTTAACTGTAATCACTTCTCCCTGAAAATAAAAGTGAAACATGTTGGAGAAGATCCGTGTCGTGTGATTATTTCAGAAACTTCTTCTTATATATGTACTTCTGTACGCTCGGTATTCTCATCACTTTCTTTATATACAACCCACCATTCTAATATAATTAATCTTGAATTTCAATCTTCACCCTATATTCAGCATCTATGTATTATTCATATGAGCATTTTGTTTGTATTATGGGCCAATGACCTACATTATTGAATTAAAATGTCTGTTTGTCTGTCTGTTGTGTTTTTTATGTCATTATTTTGACCCACTGGGCGCATCATACAGTTTTGATAGGCATATGCTAAAATCAAAGACGAACTTTACGTGCAATTACGTGTACCCGCCATTAGGCAAATATTCAGTTCAGATAAAGTGTTCTTACAGCTCGAAAACTTGGAAAGTCAATTGATTTAATAGATGATACGCACAAACGGAGCCTCCTCAACTGACAACTGCTCACTGATGGCAAGTTACTGGTATGTGGAATGCTGGCATGTCATTTAGAGCTATTGCAAGAGATGTTGGTTGTCATCCATCGACTATCAGCCGACTGGCCAGAAAACATCAGAAAACCAATGACGTTAGGGACCATCAGTGTTCAGGTCAGTTTTCAGGACTGACAATTCCACTGGTCGGAGGCAAGTCAATTTCTCTTGTTCATGACTGATGGCCGAGCTCGTGTTTGGCGCCACAGGAACACTGCGTATTCACAACGGAATATCCTGAAGGAAGTACCGTTTGGCGGGAGGTCACTGATTTTGTATGGGTACCTCATGGCTGTAAATTTGACCCTGTAACGATCAGACAAAATCTGAATAGACATCGCTGACATCCTAGACAGGGTTGTTGTACCCCATTGTTGGTCATCCTCTGAACACAAGGTCAGTCTTCATGGACGACAATGTTGGGCCATATCGTGCACGTGCTGTTGTTGATTTCTTCCGTCAATAGGCCATAGCAATTCTATCTTGGTCCGTCAGCAGTCCAGATCTCAATCCCAAATAGCATGTTTAGTGCAATATTGGTTGCAGAATACGCCAGAGAGACCTGCTGCATCAAGCACTCATCAGGAATGGAACGCAAGATCTCCAAGTCAAATTCAACGTTTGATACATTCAATGAGGAGGTGGGTCATGGGTGTCATTGCATTTTGCTGTGGTTACACCAGATATTGACATGTGCTCATTCATTGACACTTTTGTGGTTTCTTGAGGATTGTATCCCCCCACCTTGAAAATGACCGCAATGGTTGACGTCATACGACCATAGTTATCAGCACTACTAACAGAGTCAATGTTTTGCTTCTATGAATTTTTTAGTTTAGTTCTATTTTCGTTTACATTTACCATTTAATTTTTCCTTGGGATCAATTTATCCAGATTGTAAGTTAAATTAAGGTTTAGATTAGTCCCTTTGCTGTGGTACATGGTAACATATTCATACTATGAAAAATGAGGGGTGTTGCGATACTATTTTCCATGTTTATGTATTGATTACAATTTTGTAAAATTGCATACATGCATTTCTTAACAAAAACACTCCTAATGTATGTTTTCATGAAAGTAAACGTATTTTCAAATATTGAAGCACATTTCCGTCAATATTTTCAACGTACCATTTTGTGATCAATACATTTTAAATCGGATACAGTGTTTGCTGGGTAAAATGTTTTTATATGACAATCAATCAGCGATCTCGTTTAATACTATTCTAGTAGACTTGAATCATGTTTGCTATTGGTCGCAATAGTGTCACTGTAAAATGATAACTTTTCGCCAGTTATCGCACCAGTCCTGGTGTAGGCTTTTGGTGGGTCTTCGATAGCCGAGTATCTAAGCCCCAGTTCAAAGATATGTGGCTAGGATTCTTTGATGTCATGGGCTTTATCGAAGAATCAATGATGGCTATCCCTCTGGTTCATTTCTATCGCTTTTATCGACTGTCAGTGTGAACAATGAGCCCACACGAAATATACCCGGTGAAAACAGGCAATCGTCAACCTATACATGTCGTAAAAGGTGACTAACCGAATCGGATGGTTGGACTTAGTGACTTTGTTGATGGTCGTCAAATACCTCTTGCGTAGTTCGATGCATATAAACAACTGAATTGTCTGTCCAAGTTTAAATGATTTAGGGACCACCGACATACAATGTTCTGGAATACGAGCGCTGAACAAACAATGACATTAATGAAGAGTTGTGACCCACTGGGCTCGTTTACTCCTTTGGTTAGTTCCAAAGCTGCTTCAGTTTTAACTATGTCGCCATGTGTATTCACTGGATTAAGTTCGGTTTAGGAATAATGAATAAAGTGTAAGTACCGATATATTGAACATTTATCTATGGCTGTAGCCTGTAGAGCCTTTGGCAAACATGATGCGCAAGATGGGTAATGGTTCCTATATCCAGACTTCCCAAGATACTAGTACCCTGTTTCCTTGTAGCTGATGCTACAATACTTTAACATTTCTTTCAACTAGCTTGTTATCTTGAGAAAACCCGCAATATTTCCCTAAACATGTATTGTTACACTGTCGTGTTCCCAATCTGACACATAGACCAAGTATTGGACAGATAACATATCTCGTTATCTATATTAGTGTCTTGTAGTCACTGGTGACGATAGATGAACGTAGACGTTTCGTCATGGTCACCATTGTACGGTTTTCAACCGTATCCAAGGCTTACATATAATTTTAGATGGTGCTTGTGTAGTGACCACGACACACATTCGATTGCTACGCCCCCAGATGGTCGTGGTTAGGGGATCCATGTGGTACGTTTACCATGGCCAATCTGTAGTGCTTTATTGGAACTGTGAAGCTTCTTCCAGGGAGTCCACTGACAGTAGTCCGGTGATCCTGCCTTTGGACATTCCTAGTCCAACCCAAGGATATCGGCCTCAAGACGCTAACGTTCAAGACAAAAAAACACATATCCACCTATGCCACTGGTGGCCTATTGGCTGGGGATCCTTTTTTCTTGATTGCCCCAAATTTTTAGTCATTGG